CCCAACATTTCTAAAAGTTTATAAAGTGCTTTACATTCATTATCACATAGGTAAGAAGTGACAGAATAGGGGTTTGAACCCATGTCCTCTGACTCAAAATCCCGACTTCTTTCTACTCCCTGGATTGAATCTCAAGCTCTCTGAAAGTGAAGCTATTGAATAATTAAAAAACAAAAACAAAAAACCCATCACACTACTGCCAAAAGCACAGGAAATTGAGAGGACGTGGATAACTACTGTTCAGACACTACAAAACCCTTTACACAAACAACAAGGGACCCCCCACCCCATACAGCAAGGGAATCTTTAATGAAAATAAGAGAGCGGAATTGATGAGCATCCACAAGTGATAACCTAGAGGACGGATTCTTCACCAATTTCATATCCTGGACAAATCTCTCCTTCAACAGTCTGGTAAAACCTACAGAGCCTATGCTCTCAGAATCATGCTTTTAAACACATAAAATAAGACACATCAAATTACAAAGGAAACCAATCATATTGACATACAGTTACCTAAATATTTTTTTAAAATCAAGTTCATGGACCCCAGGGTAAGAACACTTGTTCTGGAACAAACCACCCAATTAGTCACACAACTAACCAAGAGGTGTCAGGAGCACATAATCCTGCTCTGGTCTTTGTTGACCATAAGAAAGCATTTTGTTCACTGGAACAAAATAAAGTCAATCAGGCATATGCCATGCATATGTTAAGACCATAGAAGACTCTTCAATCCAGTTAACCTCTAGTTATTGATATTAAGAGAAGCATGACACTGGGGGACGCTGCTCACCAAAGGTGTCAGGGAAGATATCTGGCATAGAATCCAAACGAAAGAGGAAGTCCCTATAGATGGTGAAACCCACCAGATGCTCTTCTCTTTGGATGACTTTGTACTGATTGTATCGTACTCCCCTGCCCAGAATGCTGCCATGCTTCCTGAGATTCACAAGGACTCAGTCTGACAACTACACCAGAAAAAGCCAGGTAGATGAAGAATGCCTATTGTCTAGCCTATGACACACATCTGCATGGACAACCCAGGAAGCTGAGCCATCAGTGCATGTATGGCAGACTGATTCTATCTGTGAACAATCAAGGCTCTGGGCCCACGACTGAGGATGGGCTGGACTGGACTTGGGAAACTGCCCAGTATTTTCAGTAAAGTCAAGCTTCTCCTTCAAAGAAAATTCCATCATTAAACTCCATATAACATCAACATTATGGTAATGACATATGGCTATAAATCACAGGATTCCACCAGAATCAAAACTGCAGATCTCCCAAAGGCCAATGATGACTTGCATGTGAAAAGCAAGCATCATAGGAGGAGCAAGGGAAAACAGATGGAGAGCCCCAGAGCTCCCCTAGTGAGATCGAGAAGAAGGCCCCAACATGGCAGACAGAGACCTCATAGAAAACTTATGGGAAGATCTGGAGAAGAGCTACACAGGCCAAGATGTGGATGGATTGTGATCAGCCCTACTGGAGACAGTATTGGCTCTAATGAGATCAGAGGTCCATTAAAGCATGTCCAGGAAAGAAGGCAAACCAGTCATGTCAAGAAAACAGATCAGATGTTACCCTGATATCCCCACCCACCCACCCAAGACACTGAAAGAATAAAAGGAAGGCCTCCTGTGTGCTGGTTAGAGCCTCTGTTGATGATTTATGGAAAACATATCAGTAGGCCAATAAGCATTTATTAAGCACTTACTATGTGCCAGGCACTGTGCTAAGCACTGGGAACGCAAAGTAGGCAAAATACTGTCTCTGTCCTCAAGAAGCTCACATTCCAATGGGGTGGGGGGGGGAGAGAGAGAGAGGGAGGGAAGGATGCAGGGAAGGAGGGAGGAAGGAAGGGAAAGAAACTCCATATACAAGATGTATATAAATGGAAATAGTAAAAATGGAGGGTAATCTCAGCAAGAAAGCACACACAGTAGGGAAGACTAGGAGAAGCTTCTTACAGAAGGTGAGATTTTAGCTGGGATTTAAAGGAAGCCACAGAAACCAGAAGGTAGAGATGAGGAGTGAGACCATTACAGGCATGAGGGGACAGAGAAAATTCCTGGAATCAGGAAGTTGAGTGTCTTGTGAGAGAACAGCAAAAAGGTCAGGGTCACTAGATCATAAAGGACATGGGGGGAGGGTAAAGTGTAAAGACAATGGAAAGGTAGGAAGAGACCTGGGCAGGAAGAGCTTTCAGTGCTAAACAACATTTTCTATTGGATCCTGAAGGCAATAGGAATTCTCCGGAGTTTACAGACTAGGGAGGGTCACAGTCAGACCCGTGCTTTGGGAGATTAATTTTACATCTGAATGGAGGAGGCACTAGGGTGGGTACAGTAGCTTAAAGAAACAAACCCGAAGGCTATTGCAGGTGATGACTGGGGGCCAGTTGAGTGGAAAGACGGGAACACACACCAGATGTTGTGAAGGTAAAAACAAAACCTGGCTATAGATTGTCTACATGGGCAGAGTACCCATGAAGAGTTGAGGATGCCACCGAGGTTGTGAGCCTGGGTGACTTTGAGGATAGTGGAGCCTTCAACAGTGCAGAAGGTGGTAGAAGGTGAAATGCAGAAGGTGGTAAAGTTTTGAGGGAAAGATAATGAGATCATTTGTGGACGTGATGAGGGTGAGATGTCTATCCCACCTGGAGATTCAAGCCTGGAGGTCAGGAAACGGATTAGGGTTGGATGAAGAAATGTGAGAATCATCTGCACAGGGTGATGATTGAACACATAGGTGCCGGACACTGAGTTAGCGTCTAGGGAGAAGAGGAGCCAGAACAGAGCCAGGGTTAAGTGGGTGATACCCAGAGGCAGCTCTAGGGAAAGGATATGGGGGGGGGGGGGGGTAATCAGGTAGGTGCAGAACCAGGACAGCAAATGAAGTATATCGGATAAGAAGATAAAGAGAGATTGGATTCAAAGAGAAGGTGGGGAAGGAGGACTTAACACCTGTGAAATCTCTGATCTACCAAGGCACAAATAAATAATCAAGCCATGCCAACCACAGCCAAAATTCTCTTCTAGGTTCCAAGAAAGGAAACAAAAGCCTTGTTAATCAGTTATATAACCTCTGAGACGGCTTGACTAAGGGGAAGGAGAGCTGGGCTTAGAATCAGGAAGACCCAAGCTCAAATTCTGCCTCAGATACTAGTTAGCCGAGTACCCTGGAAAAGCTCCCTGCTTCCGAGGCAACATTGAGTTACAAGTTAACAAGACTTAGTTACTAAAGCAGAGCTATTCAGTATCCTCATAGCTCAGTGGGTCCATGTGGAGTAATGGAGAGGGAGTCATTTTTCATTTTTTAAAGTCTATGATTTTAATTTTTTTCAATTAACAAAGATTATTTTAAAATCAATCTGTCCCTCCCACTCCCCATTCCCAGAGAGCCACTTTTCAAGTCAGTACATCTTGGGGTCAAATCCTGGCTCAGACACCTTAAGTCACAGTAATGTCTCCTCTCCCTGCCCTGGACAACTCTCTGTAAGACTCTAAGCTGCATATCTGGTGTAGATCTGCAAGTGGCAAGCTCTGGGTCCTTTAAAACAACAACAACAAAAGTAAACAGTTATCTGAAGTTACAGGTGCCCAGTGGTTGATAACAGCCCAGAGAATGGATCTGAGCCTGACCAGATAGAGGCAGAAATCAGAGGTATTACAGCAACTTCTCAGTGGCCTAAGAACTCAACGACACTCTACCTGCTCACTGAGATTCAGTTTACCTCTCCATAAAATAGAGGTAATCATAGGATTATAGAATGAGAATAAGAAACGTTGGGCCTCATCTAACAGAACTCCTTTATTTTCCGAAAGGAGAAGGCTCAGAGAGAAGGGACATTCAGGTTGTATTCTAACCCACAGAATTATCTATGTGTGGGCAGGTGTGTGCGCGTGTGTGTGGGTTTATAAGGTGTTGTCCAATGTGAGCTATCTTTAGGGAGTGGGTGATAAGGTTGGTCTTTATGAAGTGAGGCCAAATTTAGATTATGGAGGCTTCCAAGAAAACCAAAGCAAATCCCAAGCCCATTGGTTCGGTTTGAGTGCAGCCTGAGTTCTAGGTGTAAAAAAGTTCCCGAAAAGTTGCTCAAATGCCCAGGTTAAGCTGCTCTTTGAAGAACCCCGCTAGGACGAATCCCTGGGCACCGTGCTATCTGTGAGGCCTCCAATTCTTGGGGTCCTGGCCTTACTCCAAGCTTAGGGCACCCAGACCCCAGCTCATCCTAACCCGGTTGCTTCTTCGGCCTTGGCAGCAGGTAGCAAGGCCTCCGCGATTCGGCTTAGGATAGCTTCCAATTGGGTGGGCCGAGTCGGGATGGGGGGAAAGAGAGAAGGTGCCTGGCTCGACCCAGCCTCCCATCCTCCTTGCGTAAGAGTGCCTAGGGGTGCCCTAATAAAATGGGGGAGGGATCCAGACACATGGCTGGGGGTGGAGGTGCAATCGGGGAAGCTTCCGTCTCCCGGGTGCTAGACACGACCTAGTGAGGCTGGGAGAGGAAAGAGCTCACAACCCCGCGAATAGCGCGATCCTGGAGGGGAACGGGGAGAGGAGGCTCGCGCCCCAATCTCTCCCAGGGTCCCAGGCCTCACCCCAGCTCGAGGCCGGAATGCGCAGCCCGGTAACAGTATCTCCGGGAAAGGTTACTTTAAATGTCAAAGGCCTGGGGGCGGGGGATGGGGAAGAGAGGAGGAGGAAAGGAAGAGGAGGAAAGGAAGAGGAGGAAGGGGCCGCCCAAGGGGAAGGCTAGAGCCGGCCCCAAGCTCCGCCCCTCCCCGGCTCCGCCGTCCCCTCCCCCCCGCCCCGCTCCAGCCCCCCCCCCCCCCCCCCCGGGGGGGGGGGCGGGGGGGGGGGGGGGGGGGAAGGGCGCGGGGGGGGGGGGAGGGGGGCGGGGGGGGGGGGGCCCACGCAAGTCCTCGGCGATCGAGGCCAGCGAGGCCGGGGCCCCCCCACGCGCGGACCCCCTCCCACGCGCCGGCCCTCCTCACCCCGTTGGCCGCGGCGATGCGCACGATGAGCTGGATGACCTCCGGCATGTAGAAGCGGCCGTCGCCCCCCACCACCAGCGTGGCGTCGGGCCGCTGCGCCGGCTCCACGGTGGCCAGGATGCTCTGGATGAAGTTCTCAGCATAGTGCGCGCTCTCCTGGAACACTCGGACCCGCTTGCGCAGCCCGCTCGTGCCCGGCTTCTGGTCCGGGTACGCCTTGGTGTGCACTTTGACGATCTTCACCATGGTGCGGTGCGGTGCTGCCCGCCGCTGCCCTGGCCTGGCTGCCTTCCTGCTGCCGATGCCCGCTGCCGATGCCCGCCGCTGCCCTGGCCTGGCTGCCTTCCTGCTGCCGCCGGCCCCAGCAGCTGCTCTGGAGCACGGATGGTGTGTCACACTCACACACGCCCGAGACACAGCTCTCCTTAAAGAGACAGCGGCCTGGGACCTCCCCCTCTCTCGAACCACCCACCCACCAGCTAGTGCCAGGAGGGACAGAGAAAGGTGGCTCCCCACCCCCAGCCCTCGTGGGTGGGGCCGTACTGTCCGGCCTTCCCTCCTCCCACCAACCTACACTTCAGAAGCCAAGCCCCAACACACCCTCCAGGCCAGAGAAGGGCCCGGGACTCAGGTGGTCGGACGTGAGAGCACGTTCTTCTCTTTGGGGGATCTGGTTATTTTCTGCACGAGGATGTGTGACGTGCTATCCTAGTATCCAGTGGGGCAGAGGGAAGGATTTCGGGATTTGGGCTGGGAAGATGCCACAGTTTAGCTTTCAGACCTTGTGCAACCTGGGGCCACGAGCCTCTCCGGGCCTGTTTTCTCACCTGTAAAATGGACCAGATGGCCTCTAAGCACCCTTCAGGTTCTAAATCTGTGATCTACCAAGGACAGTGGCAGAGGTACCTGTTTCAGTCCGTGTGATCTCGGGCAAGTGATAGAGCCAGGATTTGAAACCAGGCTCTCTGCTGAGAACCTTTTCCCCTGTCCTTGGCGATCATATATTTAGAGCTTCAAAGTCAGTCAGTCAACAGTTTACAAGGTTTGTGAAGCATTTTACATATCTTATTTTATCTTGGAAGATGGGGGCTATTATCTCCATTTCACAGATGAGGACACTGAAGCTGATAAATTGAGTGACTTGCCTGGGTTCTTACCTCCTAAGTGTCTGAGGCCGTATTTGAATTCGGGTCCTCCAGGCCCAGCCTCTCTATCCACTGGAATACATAGCTGCCTCATTATTAAGCTCCTACGACGTGCCGGGCATTGTGCTAAGCACCAGTGATACAAAGAAAGGAAAAAGACAGTCTCTGCTCTCAAGGATCTCATCACAGTCTAGGTCACCTAATTCAACCCCTTTATTTTACAGATGAAGAAACTGGGGCCTAAAGAAGGGAAGTGACTTGCTCAAAGTCACCCAGACAGTAAGTCACTTCCCCTTCCTCTCTGTTCTGTTTCCTTATCTCTGAAACGAGAGGGTTGAGCCAGAGGATTTGTAAGGAAACTTCAAGCTTGAAATGTATGACTTTGGCTACAAAGCCGTCAGTGTGTCTTTATTATTGCTCGTTAGACAAATATTCACCCAGTGCATACTTTCTACTTGACTCTTAGTCAAGGGTGAAGAGTGCTGGAGATGACGCCTTCCCAGAGGGAATGGGAAAAGCCCTGGGTTTGGGTTCTATCACTTTCCCTTTCTTGTGAAAGTCCCCTTCTCTTTCTAAGACTCAATTTCATAATCTTTACAAGCAGAATGGTATTCTACCTACCTCAGGGTTGTGCAGATCAAATGAAATAATGTGGATAAAGGGTTTTGTAAACCATAATTAATAGCTAATATAATAATAGCTCACATTTACATAGGGCTCACTGTATGCCAGGTATTATGCTAAGTGCTTTATAAAACAAGCCTGGGAGGTGTGTGCTGTTATTACTCCCATTTTACAGATAAGGAGACTGAGGCAGGCAGAGGTGAGGTGACTTGGCCAGGGTCACACTGCTAGTAAGTATCTGAGCCAGGATTTGAATTCAGGTCTTTCTGACTCTCAGCTCAGCACTCTGTGCACTGTGGCATTACCTAGGTGTCTAATTAATGTTGTGATACATGCTTTTCAGTGTTCAAAGTGGATTTTAAGGAAAACATTTTGTTCTACATATGCTCTTTTTTTTTCTGTGTGGTCTCTTTGATACATATTTATTAGTGATGCCTCTTTGACACATACTAGTTGACGCGTCTGACAGCACTAAATATTTCTTTCTTTGCCTCCCTTTCCCCTAACTGCTACAAAAGAAAACTCAGAAGATCCCAATCGTCCAAGGAAGTCAGTTCACTTGATTTTATCTTGTCTGATAAAGCACTTGGTAGGCCTATAACAAATGCTAATTAATTAACTGACTGATTAAGAAGGTACTGTTTTCATTGGTCTAATGTAAATGGCTAAGCATACAAGGACACGTTCTTTCCGAGGTAACAAATTAACCATCCTCTTTGTTTTTAATAAATACCTTTTCCTGCCTATACCCCCATACCTGCTCTTATCAAAATTGCTTCATAAGAAAGACACCTTCTCTTTCGTTTCTCTCCTCGGGCTTATGCAGATGAAGAGGAAGAAGAGTGAATATATACATCATCTGTGGAGTTGTGAGGAATATGTGTCCATCACCTGCTGGTGGTTAAATTGACTGGATAAATAAACTTTAGCTTACCTGTCTGTCTTCCCAGTCCTGTGCTGTCTTATCTGGGCAGGAAGCTAGTCAGGACCCTACAAATTCCTGCAACATCAGGTTTCAGTTGATTTGGAGAGCCCTGTGAAGGCTGCATGGAGGACAGGGCCTTCCTTTCATTCCCTGGGAATCTTCAGCTTTGAATTTTGTGGCATCTCTCCAAACTTCTCAGGATCACTGAGAGATGCCTTTTTCCCCTAAATCAGAAACACTACCAGGACTGAATGGGTTCATCTAATGTGAGAATAATTCTTCCCAACTCTTTGAAGCAGAGCTTGGTGAGGCAAAGAGACGTCCTCCGTCTAGTCTCATTTAGGCCAGTTGTAACTTTGGCCTCTCAATGACACTACAAATAAGCGCGGCTCCAAAGGCAGTTGGGTGTGGTAGGAAAGCACTGGATTCTAATGAGAGAAAATCAAATTAAAACAACTCCGAAGCTCCACCTCACACCCTTAAGTTGGTAAAAATGGCAGAAGAAAAACCAATAATGGTGGAGCTGGGGGAAGACCAGCATGCTAATGCATAGGTCTATGTCTGAAAGAGAGAGAGAGAGAGAGAGAGACCCCCCAAATGAGGTCACAAAGAGTTGGGCACGACTGAAACAATTGAACAACCACTAAATCTGATACCTCATTTGAGAGGCAACAGAATGGAGTGGAAGGAGCCGGGAGATCCTGACAGGTTTGAGCTGTGTGTCATTTCCCTTCTCAGCCTCAGTTTTCTCATCTAGAAAACAGGGGTGACCATGCTTACACTTCATGTATTGCTTGGCCATTGTAAAGAGAGAACTTGGCAAGCCTTCAGCTGCTTTGTATTTCTCTACAAGAGCTTCAACAAGGGGGCACCCAGCCTTGACTTGCTCAGCTCTAGGGGCTCCCTTTTCTTTTTCTTTTTCAATTTTATTATATTTTATTTTTCCTCAATTACATGTTAAAACAATTTTTAACATTTTTGAAAGTTTTGAGGTCCAAATTCTATCCCTCCCTCCCTTCTCCTTCCCCTTCCCTGAGATGGTAAACAATCAGATATTAGTTGTACATAGGTAATCATGTAAAACGTTTCTATATTAGTCATTTTGTACAAGAAGACTCAAGTGAAAAAGAATGAAAGAAAGTGAAAAATATCATACTTCAATTTGTATTCAAACAGTATCAATTCTTCCTCTGGAGGCAGATAATATGCTTCAAGTCCTTTGGGGTTATCTTGGATCCTTGTACTGCTGAGAAGAGCTAAGTCATCCACAGTTCTTCATCGAACAATATTGCTGTTACTGTGTACAGCATTCACCTGGTTCTATTCACTTCACTCAGTATCAGTTCATGTAAATCTTTACAAGTTTTTCTGAAATCATCCTACTTATCATTTCTTATAGCACAATTATATTTTATTACAATCATAAACCACAGCTTGTTTAGCCATTCCCCAATTGACAAGCATCCCTTTGATTTCTAATTCTTAGCCATCACAAAAAGAGCTGCTATAAATACTTTTTTTTTTTTAACAAATCCCCCCCCCCCACTTCTTTGATGTCTTTGGGATATAGACCTAGAAGTGGTATTGCTGGGCCAAAGGGTATGTACAGTTTTATAGCCCTTAGGGCATACATAGTTCCACATTGCTCTCTAAAATGGTTGGATCAGTTCACAACTCCACCAACAGTGCATTAGTATCCCAATTTTCAGGGGCTCCCTTTTCAATGAGATAGTTCATTCCACTTGGGGACAGCTCTAATTTTTAGGAAATTCTTTCTTATGTTTCTTTGAAACATGATTTTCTGCAACCTCTCCCCAGATTTTAAATTTGCTGTAGAGCCAGGCAGAACAGGGTTGTCTAATCCATCCTCCATCCGACAGCTCTCCCAGGTATTAAAGATTCACATCCCTCTTGCCTCTAGAACAGAGAACTCCAAAATGCAGGCAAGGAGGTTCATGGTCTGACTGGCTGTGGCCTGACCCTGAGGGGTATGTGACAAAATAACATTTTAAAATGGAAGGTAGGGCCCTTGGATAGCCAATAGTGGGGATTGTCTCCAAAACAACCATCTCTGCCCGTCTCTTCCAATACTGCCCAACTCTAGCAATCATCCTTTGCGCAAGCTCCAAACCTCCCCCGCTTGGCACCAGTAGTCAGCCCCTCAACTGCCTGACCCCTGCACAAGTACTCTTGGGAAAATCCCCTCCACCCTACCCCCAATATACCCAACCAGTGTCCCGCTGTAGTACTCACTCTTTGGAAGGTAGGTTCTGGCTTCAGGGCAATGACCAGTGAGTAACAGTCCTGCCTCCATGTTCTCATTTTGAAAGGGACAGAGTGAATTGCACGAAATCAGCAGGCACTGTGGAAGGTCATAAATTGTAAGAAGACTGGAAAGGTTGTGAAGGGCTTTAAATGCCAAATGGAGTATTTTGTACGTGATCTTGGAGGTAACAGGGAACCATTAGTGTTTTTGAGTATAGGAGTGACGTGGTCAGACCTGCACATTAGGGAAATGATGTTGGCAGCTGAGTGGAGGACTGATTGGGAGAAACTTGAGGTAGGGAGGCCAGCTAGAAAATGATTGCAACAATC